GGGCAATATGCTGACTCTGTAAACCGCTTAGAGAGGGCTGAAAGCCCTATGAAGCGGTATATAAGTCTAACTGCTATTGCTATTGCTATTCTGCCCCACTGATGTCTAGCTCCAAAGGCATATGATAAGTGTCAGATGGCCCTGGCCCTATCTCTGCCTCCGATGCAGAGCACTCTTCAGAGCCCTCCCCAGACTCTAGGACTGGCCCATGTTCCTCCCCAACCTCCTCACTATCTGAGTCTACTGGCGGGCCACAACGCAATTCTACACCACTGTCCAGTCCACATGTTGCCATCTAAAGATCTTATACGAGGCAGACTAGACCAAGAAATAGATGCACGTGAATTATGGAGGTCTCTGGCTGAGCCCTTTTCATAATCTTCTCCCGTTGTTTGGATTTAAGCTATGTTTTCTTTTTGGTTGCTTTGTTAATGGATCATCCTTCTTTCCATCAAGCTTATCTGCTTGACCCACTATATGTGCCAACTAAAGCAGGCACATTACTAAGAAGAAAATCAGGTTAGTTTATCCCGGCTTCTTTGTGGGGAAGACAATTCCCTTTAGCCATGCCTTTATTTCTAAATGTCCATAAACCAACACTTTATTCCAAAGTTTTGTCCATCATTGGCATCTCATTAACCCATCTGCAAGTTACTTGGGTCCTCTGTTCCTTCTTTTGAAGAAAGGAATATCCAATCTCCAGAACTCTGCCACTAGGCCCATCTTCCATGACTTTTCAAGTTTCTTAAATAGAGATTGCAATGACACTTTGACTTATACACCGCTTCACAGTGTTTTACAGCCCTCTCTAAGTGATTTACAGAGTCAGTCTATTGCCCCCAACAATCTGGTCCTCATTTTACGGATCGCGGAAGGATGGAAGGTTGAGTTAAACTTGAACCAGTGAGATTTGAACTGCCAAACTGCTGGCAGTTGGCAGAATTAACCTGCAATACTGCAGTCTAACCATTGCACCACCACGGATCATTTTTTTTCTGGACACCTATATTTTTTCAAGTTAGGTAGATATTCTATAACACAGTTGGAGACGTATGGCCCCTTTATGACTTGTGGACTTCAACTCCCAGAATTTGAAGTCCACAAGTCATAAATGGGCCATAGTTCCCCACCCCTGTTCTATAACCACCTTTATTTTGAGTTACCTTGAGTTTCTTAAGAAACTTTTTCTCTACTTTAATTCTCACAGATTATTTAAATGTCCTTATTGGGATGGATATTCTTGAAATTAAAAATACTATATTTTTCACACTATAAGACACACCTAGATATTGGGAGGAAAACAAGAAAAAAAATCTGCCTCCTAGCAATTTGCCTCCTTGCAGCAAACAGCCTGGTCAGCTTCAGCACAGCCTGATTTAGCATGAGCAGCTGATTGGCAGTTGAATTGGCCTCCCGGAATATCACTGATCAGCTGTTCCAGACTGTGAGGATCGTTGCCACCCATCGCTGCCTCTGCACGCCCCATTTCCGACTTCCATGCATCCGTTCCAGGCAGCAGAGACTGGGCAGAACAGGCGGAAAACAGGATGTGTGGGGGCCATAAACGGGACCCCCAGAAGCAGTAATGGGCGGCAGCTATCTGCAGAGGCCGAAGGGTGGGGACTGGCAGGTGGGTGGGGCTTCAGCAGCATTCACTTTATAAGACGCACAGACATTTCCACCCACTTTTTNGTTAGTTAGTTAGTTAGTTAGTTAGTTAACTTTATTGTCATTGCACCTTGTACAATGAAATTAAATGCCATCTTCAGTATACATTATAACAATAAAAATAAAACACACACATCCTTCACATTCTATGCAATTGAATTGAAAAACCCTGATATTGCATTAATATTGCACTATACAGTAGAATTCATTATAGTTACTGCTCTCGGATAGAAGCTATTTTTCAGCCTATTTGTCCCTGTTTTTGTTATCCTGTACCGTCTGCCAGATGGCAATAGTTCAAAAAAAGGCTGCCCAGGATGAGATGGATATTTAAGAACATTTTGAACATTCTTAAGGCGGCGGGAGCCATAAAGCTCTTCCAAAGAAGGGAGAGGGCAACCAGTGATCCTCTGGGTAATGACATTGACTCTCTGGAGTACTGTCCTATCTGCCACTGTGCAACTGGCAAACCATACACTAAATAAGTTAAAATACTCTCTATGGTGCAGCACTGAGGTGATATTCAGCAGGTTCTGACTTGTTCTGGATAACCAGTAGCGAAAATTTTGAATAGTTTGAATAACCAGTAAATACCACTTCTGATTGGCCCTGCCCCCATCTATTCTCTGCCTCCCGAGTCCCAGCTGATCAGGAGGAAATGGGGATTTTTCAGTAACCTTCCCCTGGAGTGGGAAGGGAATGGAGATTTTACAGTATTCTTCCCCTGCCATGCCCACCAAGCCACGCCCACAGAACCAGTAGTAACAAATTTTGAATCCTATCACTGGTGCAGTGGTAAAAGGTCACCAGCAGTGGTGAATAAAGAATTAGCCAATAAACAATTCAATTCCATTCAATTCTATTAAATTTTTGTTTTTAAAAAGCATGTACCTGTGGCCATGATAGTGTCATCCTTCCCTTGGGTAAACACCACCACGCGCTGTCTTTTCGGATTTGCTTTTTTCAGTGCCTGAGTCTTTCGGGCAATCTCTTCGATGTCCTCCGTCTTGGAAGAGCAAAAGAAAAAAGAAGAAGAATCTTGAAAGCAGCAGCATGATTTATCAAAGACAAATCATAAACTTTTCAACAAATTGCAGAGGGATTATTTTTAGTTGAACATCAATGTGGAACACTGATGTCAGAATGAAATCACAGCTTGACAAGCTACTTTGATTAGAGCAAATTAGTTTCCCCATGATCGAAATAATGTCAGGGTTCCAAATAACATCCAAAATTAAATCAGAGTCCAAGGCAAAGTATTGCTCAAAGTTCCAATTTATTAAG